ATAATAATAATAATAATAATAATAATAATAATAATAATAATCTTTATTTATATCCACTTTATCTTGCCGTATATGAGGCAAACATTCAACACCTTCTTGCACACACAGTGAACCATGACATGCAACAAAGACAAAGGTAAAGGGTTTCATCTTTTTCCATGTCCAGTGTCTGGAGCAATGCTCCACTCCAGCCATGGGGAAGTGCTGTTGTTCCAATTTTTCCATGCTGAGGAACTAGTTGTCCATAGACATCTCCAAATTGTGTTGCTGGCATGTCTGCATATCTGCATGGGGTGCCCTTTTCCCTTTCTGCTGAGGCGATACCTATTATCTACTTGCACTGCATTCTTTTCACTTCACTTCACTTCACTTTACTTCTTAATGAGTCACTCTCCACCACGATGCTCCGAGCGACTTACAATCTAAAATAGCATTTACACAATATAAAAACATTCAACATAAAAACATTCAACAGTGACTATTTGGCAAATTAGATCCGATTACTTAAATGCACAACCAAACAGCCAAGTCTTGAGTGCCTTTACAAAAGGTCGCAACTCCGACATTGCTCTAATGTATGGAAGCAATGAGTTCCACAGAATTGGAGCACAGGTCGAAAAAGCAGCCTGGCCGCCGCATTTTGGACCATCCGAATCTTCTGGGTTGTTGAAGGCCGGCATATAAGGCATTGAATAGTCCAACCTTGTGGTGACTGTTGAACTGCTAGGTTGGCAGGAGCTAGGGCTGACAGCCGAGAACTCACCCCGACTCCCGGCTTTGAACTGCCTACCTTCCGGTCAGCAGCTTTCCTGCAGCTAGAGGCTTAACCTCTGTGCTACCACGGCCCCATGCACTACTGCGGTTCAGTAATCTTCTATTATTATTAGCATAGCTGCACAATTTTGGCTTTCAAAAGGCATAAACATATGTACAATATAAAATGAAAGTGGCCAGCTTGGGGAGTGCAAAGGGGAGATGGGGAAAGGACCATAATCTCATCTCTTGGTGTCATGTAACTGCTGACATTGTGGTACAGAAGCAGAAGGGACCCATTTCATTATGGACTGAGAGTTATTGATGAGTTTTACTCATTAATAACTAGGAATGGGAGAATCAGAACCAGGAACGGGATGCACACAGCACTGCCAGTTTGCTTGTCTAGTAGGATAAAATCTGCATTCTCCATGTACCGATTAATGTGTAGTCAAAATGGAAACATCAATACACAAGAAAGAGCTTTCTGTAATGCTTTGGGGATCCCAGAGCTTAGAGAAACACCCAAAATGTGTGTGTACGGGAAAAGGAGGAAAGGGGGAGAAGAATCTAAAACAACTTGATAACTATTAAGCCAGAGATGGAGGATGGAAAAATTTCCACAGGAAAAAAAATTAGTTGTACAGTTATTCCCTGCCTCCAACACGCACACTATGATCTAAATCCTCTTTTAGTTCTGACCACAGTAGACCCATTATCCTCATTGGTTTGTTGACTCGCCATTCCACATCTGATTGAATGGATCGATTCTAGTTGGGATTAATCAACAGAATGCCAGCCTGTATTTGAAAAATATGCTTATCCATAGTTGCCTGGGCTATTATACTGCCAGTCAGCTGTGTTAAATGGGCTAAATATGAGAAATGAAGTGCCAGTCATTCTTCTAAAAAGACAAGCATTGGAAAATCCTAATACTCCGAGGAATTGACTAATAAATGAATCCACAGATAGGTATGTCTCTGCCTTGAAAAACCTCTTCCTCTCAATCAGATACAAGTACGAACAACCAAAGAGAGATAGGAAAAGCTGCTTGTGCCCACAGACTCACGCCTGTCCTTTAGTGGAACACAATGTTCAATCAGCTCTACGGAATCAGATATTTCCCAACTTGAATGTATGAGTGAGTGAGTGAAGTTGAATGCACCACAGTTCTGCCTCAGCCAAAAAAAGTTAAAGTACTGATATTATTATTGGGTTGTTGTAGGTTTTTCAGGGTATATGGCGATGTTCTAGAAGCATTCTCTCCTGACGTTTCGCCTGCATCTATGCCTGCAGAGGTTGTGAGGATGTGTTAATTCTGTGGGCTGGTCATTCCACAGATATATAAACCCATTTTCCTACTTCCAACAGACCTCACTACCTCTGAGGATGCTTGCCATAGATGCAGGCGAAACATCAGGAGAGAATGCTTCTAGAACATTGCCATATACCCTAAAAAAACCTACAACAACCCAGTGATTCCAGCCATGAAAGCCTTCGACAATATTATTATTATTTATTATTATTTTCCACATTTCTAACCCGCCCTTCTCAACCCCCAAGGGGGCACTCAGGGCAGCAATTCGATGCCACGAGATAATATAAATATAAACAAATATAACAACAGTTTAAAACAGTAAATAGAACATTAAGTTATAAACACATTAAAACATTGTCATCAATCCATATAGCCAATTCCAGTCCCGTTCAACATCCAAAGTGCTGTCATGCTTGCTGTCCAAAGGCCTAGTCCCAGAACCACGATTTAACTTTCTTTTTGAAAGAAATGAGGGAAGACGTTGACCTGATCTCGCTAGGGAGCGAGTTCCACAGGTATGGGGCCACCGCCGAGAAGGTCCTGTCCCTCATCCCCACCAAGTGCACTTGCGAGGCTGGCGGGACTGAGAGCAGGGCCTTCCCGGATTATCTTAAACTGCGAGTCGGGATGTAGAGGGAGATATGTTCAGACAGGTAAGCTGGGCCGGAACCGTATAGGGCTTATGTGCTGGTACGGCTGTACCAGGAGCTCCAACTTTATTTTCTTTCTGTTATCTGTTTTGCAGTCATAGGACAGGCCTCCTGTCCATCTTAATTAAGCTTTGGTTCCGCCCCTTGTTCAAGCTTCTGGGAAGGAAAGGAGCCATTTTGGGCAGTCTCTCACAAGGTAGCTAAGCTATAGGATGTAGACCAGCTCGTCCTGTAGAAAAGCTTCCTTTCTTAAGAACTTCCAGGGAAACTGATCATACAGGGGAAAAAGATCATCCAGGGAAAAAGTAACGTCCAGGGAAAAAGGGATCATCCAGAGAAACTGATCATCTAGGGAAAGTGACCATTCCAGGGAAACTGAAATTCACTGAACTCAGCTGAAATATCTTCAAGCCTCAACCGGTAAGGTCTGCTCGATACCCAGATGCATTTGGAATCGGTAGTAGGTCCCACACCAATGAGGCATAAATAGAAAACAGCCTGGGAGAGGTTAAAAAGAGTTTTTCCTACAGAGAAGGTTTAGTTAATCAAAGTCAGGTGCCAGTCCATTGAGGACTAGACTAAGAAAGCCTCGAAGTGTTGTTTGAACCATTGAAGATTTGTTGTTTGTTCCATAATAAAGACTTTGTTGTATCATTAAAGACTCTAAAGACCATCACTTCAGAAAAATCCCCGAGAACCTCTCTTTGAGGCGTCCCTGGCTTCCCGCTGGGCTTAAAGTATACGTCCTATAGAAAAGTACAGCTATTACAGGCCCAGCGTGCGACAGAACAGCTTAGACATATACATCTGTGGATGCAGAACCCATGGATATGGAGGGCTGACTGTATATGGTATTCTTTTTATTTTATTATCTGCATAAAGCTTTGAATGTAGAAGAATATAACATTTAAACCAAACTTGTTGAAGTACTCAGCATGGTTTAGAGCACTTTTTTTAAAGCTCCTTCCAGAAAATCCACATCATTGGATTGAGCGTACTTTGCGTCTGCAGAATGTTGAATATTTATTGGAGAAAATGGAATGGAGAAGCTTGGAAGCAATCATGCCTAGTTGGCTGAAACTCTTCAAAGAAGCTCTCCATGTTGCAAAACTTTATCCCAATTTTCGACTTGTATCTGATTTATCTACAATCAGAAATGAACAGGGGGAAGCAGAGAGGCATCCAGATGGATCACATTATTTTTTACAGCAACATCATTGTCACCAGAATCAAACATCATCTCCTTGAAAGCTCCAGCTGTCCTTCTCCGCCCATCGTGTTCTAGTTTCAGAGCCAAGGCGTTTTTCTTTAGCCAGAATAAGTATCCTCAGCCATTAAGAAAGCCATGGACCAACTTATCATTCCTACACATTGGACAAATGCTTTAGATACTAGCTAGGCTGTTAATTATTTTCAAGTCAGCTTTGACTTATGGCTTCCCTATGGTCTTCCAAATTTTCTTGACTTAGTCTGTTCACCTATAATGCGGTCCACCTCTTTCCCAACAGCATTCCACTTTGCCAAGTATCATTATCTTTCCTAATGCCATTCTGTGCCATCATATACCATGTCCATTAAAAAAAGATGTTAGAATGCAAATTAAAACAATTCTACTCAAAACAATGAGCCAGTGACTGGCCCATAAGCTATTGGCCAATGAGTCCTAGTGAATATTCAGGAAAGAATAATCAAATATACTCAATGGGCAGAAATATAAAGCCTTCCCCGGGGGGCCTCTAGCGAGGGAGAGAGACTATTTCTTTATTTAAGAAAAACCTCTTTACTCTTATAATAATTCAGTTTCTTCTTTTATATTAGCTGGGACTTTCTGTGTGCTGTTTAACCTTTGTACAGACAATGAGACACTCTTCTGTATAACAAAGTAACACAGTTTATTTATAACTTCTGGCTCCAGCGCTTGCGGTTACATTTGCATTTTGTTGCAATCTTGAGGCTTACAGTCAGTATAATATACTTGGTTTACTTTTCTGAAATAGACTTTCAATGTTTCACATTCACAAACATATTACTTGCTTTACACACTCTTGACTGAAATTATATTCTGACTAAAGAACCACTGGCTTTCTTTATGTTCCTAAAAATTGAGCTCTATTTAACTAACTGCTTCTATATATCAGAAGTCTTTAACACATCTTCATAACTGCTTATTTCTAACAGGAGTTCCTAACTCTTTTCTCTCACAGAAGTTCCTAACTGTACTTCACAAACAGGAATCCCTAACTCTCCTCACAAACAGCAATTCCTAACTAACTCTTTAGACTCTCTAACTGCTTATTTTTAAACTTTGGCTCCACCCCTTTGGAATGTTTAGCTATGCTCTTTCTCTCCAACTGTCATTTTGGCCTAGCAACCTGTTCAAATCCTGGGCCTACACTAATCTGCATATGACCAATCGGCTTCCATATGCAAATGAATCCTATCTCTGCTGTTGCTACCCTGTCAGTGCCTATTCTTCCCTATCTGCCATATGTAAACATAGAGCTATACACCAAAATTTTTACATAGAGTAGCAATTTCACTAAAGCCTCCCTTATCAGAAAGAAATGCTTTCTGATAAGGGAGGCACAGCCTTGCATCTTCAAATTGCAATAGATAATACAAAGGGAACTTTGATGTATATGCAGAGATGCTTCATATAAGCTCTCTCCTGACATCTTATAAGGGTTGAATGAAAAGCAATGCCTCCACCTTCATAACTCCTCAACAGATGGCAGTACTGGTATGTGGCAGGTACTGGCTTGTTCGGTTGTGTTGTTAAAGTGCGAAGTATGGAACCCTGTGCAGACGGTCGGTCAATGCAATGCAAATGCAAATTACAGCAACATGCAGTAATTGAATTCTTGACAGCAGAAGGTGTCATCCCAAAGGAGAATGCAAGTTTTTATGGTGATTGTGTTGATGTGAGTACTGTAAGTCATTGGGCGAGTAAGTTTAAAGATGTTGAGGTGACACCTTCTGCTGTCAAGAATTCAATGACTGTACGTTGCTTAAGTCGCATTGCACAGGGTTCCATACTTCGCACTTTAACAACACAACCATTCAATGCTAAGGCTTCCCGCCAAAATGGAACTGTAGAGGAGAGTCTACTGAACAAGCCAATACCTACCGCATACCAGTACTGCCATCTGTTGAGGAGTTACGAAGTTTGGAGGCATTACATTTTATTCAACCCTCGTAAGTGGTGTAATTCGGGTAAGATTTCACCACTTAAGTAGTACATGTGGTAGAACAGCGAGTTAAACCCTTAGCTGCAATAAAGCTGCTGAACAGAAGATTAGCAGTTCAAAGCCGCAAGTCAGGGTGAGCTCTTGATGGTCAACCCTAGCTGCTGCCAACCTAGCAGTTCAAATGCATGCATTGAGAGTAGGTACCTCTTCAGCGGGAAGGTAAAAGGGTACCTCATGCAGATATGCAGACATGCCGGCAACACAATCAGAGATGTGCGATGATTTTGTTGACTGCGTGATTCATCTCCACATTACGAATTATCCCTGTTTCCCTTAGGAAACACCATTTTGCTTGAAAGAGAGAGGAACTTGTACACTACTTTGGATCTGAAATATATCTTTCCATTGTGAAGTTCACCTGTCAGTTTTTCAGTATCTCAATATTCTTGTAGGATATAGAGATACTGGGAAATTTGAAGACCCTTCTTGCGGAAAGCACAAAAAACGGAGTGCATTTGGATAGTTCAGTACCTTGTAGCCCAATATGAGCCCGTTTTGTTCCGCTTCTGGCACAGCTGCCCAAGTCAAGAGGATCTGCGTGGAGCTCACTGCTTCAGCGGACACGTTCTCTGGTGGAGCCGAAGGAACTGCAAATACAGACACGAGAAGATGATGAATCCATTTATTCACTTATTTGTATTCTAGGATCTCATACACTAGCATGTACTGGAAGAAAACCAGGATGTGCATGGCCAAAGTGTGCTTAAAGTGAATGTTTGTATGTATGTATGCGGAGGGCGGAAGGGCGGATTGGCTGCCACTTTCACAGGCCACTGTGACCTACACGGGTGATGCACCTGGACCAAACTTGGCACACATAACCCCCCATGAACCCCTTTACATCCTGGTGCGATTTCGGGGTGGTGGATCACGGATTATGGGATTTGTAGTACATTCAAACGGTTTGGTTCCCAGGGACCACTGTGGCCCCCAACGAAGACCGATAAAGACCAAACTTGGCACACTGAGCCCCCATGACCCACTCTACATCCTACTGTGGTTTGGAGGAGGGCAGACCATGGATGATGGGACTTGAAGTACCTCCACTCGCTTTCTGAGACCGCTGCGACCCTAAACAATGACTGATCAAGACCAAACTTGGCACACAGAGCCCCCATGACCCACTCTAATCCTGGTACTTTTTGGAGGAGGATGAACCATGGATGATGGGACTCACAGTACCTTCACTAACTTCCTGAGACCACTGTGAGTCACATAAATAACTGATAAAGACCAACCTTGGCACACAATGCCTTTCTCAAATAACCCGTGTACTGCCAGGTCCCCAAGCTAGTTTTATATAAAAGACACAATTTCACCAAAGCATGTTATCGGACAGAGGAATTGTGGAGGGCGGTGTATGTGGCAGCGTTCTGATTGGCTGCCGCTGTGGTGCTATTTGCATATGGTCTCTGATTGGGCAGCTTCAAGAGGAGCCCCTGGTGGAGAAGAGGGTTCATGGCAGAAACGGGGCATGACAGAAGGAAATTTGCATATGGTCTCTGATTGGCCAGCCTCAAATCCAACATTCCGAGATGACAAAGAGAGGAAAGGAAAGGCCGGGGGCTGGGTCAGAACACTACCAATACAGACCGAAATAGGCACACAGAGCCCCCATCACCCACTCTACATCCTACTGCAGTTTGGAGGAGGATGAACCATGGATGATGGGACTTGCAGTACCACCACTCACATTCTGAGACCGCTGTTAACCTTATCCAATGACTGATCAGGACCAAACTTCGCACATAGACCTCTCATGACCCACTTTACGTCCTGGTGTGGTTTGGCCGGGGATGGACCGTGGATTATGGGACTTGCAGTACCATTGCTCAATTCTTCAGACCACTGCAACCCTCATCCAATTACCAATAAATACCAAACTTGGCACACTGAGTCTCCATGACGCACTCTACATCCAGGTGCAGTTTGAAGGAGGATGCACCATGGACGATGGGACTTGCAATACCTGCACTCCCTTCCTAATACCATTAC